GCATTTGACCGATTATCGGTATCGGCCTTTTTTTTATCAAATTGCCGATAAAACTTTGGCTCTGATTCTATGGTATTAGTTGTGTATCATAAAGATAAAGCAACACTTTCTCAGAATAAAGCAAAACTATGAGTTTAAAAGAAAAAAAAACTGAGTCAAGCAAAATAAAATACATTTCAAAAATAAAACTATAAGTTGCAAACAAATCATTTGTGTAATCATGTAAACTATAAGCCTTTTTTCTTTATTTTAACATAGGTTTTTGTTTGCAGTTCTTGTTTCTTCTTTCTCAATGACCAGACTTTTGCTCTCGCTGCAGCTTTCTCTTTTGCGCTCCGTCACTTTTTGTTTGAGATTCTGACCCAAACCTCCCAGGTGGACGGGACTTTCAGGGGTGCGTCCCCATTGGCTACTCAGTTTTTGAGTGACAGCCCAGTCCTCCAGCGATTGTACAGTGCAGGCAGCTGCGGTGCGGTAGCTAGCTGAGCGTGGACAGAAGACCCCCAGAAGAACCAGCATTTCAATTATTATAATACTACAAGTGAAAATATATGTAAGTATTGATCATTTGTGTTGTTTGTGCTATACGGTCTGTTTCTTTATTGTGTTAAGTGAGAAGTAAAGCTGTGCTATGAAAGTTAGCTTGTGCTACCTTTAGATCCATAACAATGCAAGCTAAGTAGCCTAACAGTTAGCTACATAGCTAGCAGTGAGTGAGCGTTCAGACACCGGCGCACACACTCAAACAGACTAGTGTGCCAGACTCTACCAACAGGCTTTCATGATTCTGTTTAGATATCCAAGTATAAGCCATGATAGCTTATTTTATTAACACGCTAATTTGATATGAAAATCAATGGAGGCTGAGTTAACTTTGTAGGAAAACCTACCGTCCATGATGCCCCCTGAGCTGTGTTTTATTTGTTAACTTCATATTTTTCATTTCCTAAAAAATTATTTTCCTCTCATATTAACAGTGTGGATCATTGAGACAGCGTGGCGTCCAGAGTCTTATCCCGTTTTCCCACTTCCTCTGAGGGTACAGCACGGAGGAGGGGGGGGGGGGCATGAAGAGAGACCTGCACCATCTTCATCCACACTGGGCGTTGCTGTTATCACTGGCTCAGTGTCATTTCATTTGACCAAATGGCTTTACATATACATTTAATAGATTTTATTATTATCCACCTTTTTGTTTTATGTCCTTTTATTTAAAACATTCTTTGAGACTTCATCTTCTGGTTCAAATTTCAATAAATGTAATTCGTATAATCACTCTTTTGTCTTTATTCTACATGAAAATGTTAGAGATTCCATTCAAATCTGTTGATTATTCATATCTTCCTCAGGCTAGGAATAGTATGTCAAATTTTTAATGCTAAATGTATATCATTTTCTCACAGGATATAGAATGAAACAACACAGTTTGTATCCATTGTGTATGAATGCTTCAGCTCTTCAGACCAACATAGTAAGATGTGAGCATGTTCCTAATTGTGTTGGTATGCAGCCTAGGTCTGGTCTGTTTAATAAAGCAAATCTGCCACTTTTATATTGCAGAATTTGTTCAATTAAAGCAGTCTTTAATTGTTTGTCCTAAACATAGCAATATATGCTTTTGAAATGTAACATGTCTTTGAAAAATAATAGTATACAGTTTATATTGTGTATCACCTTTAGCTTAAAAATACATAGATGTGTTTTTTTAATCTATAAAATAAATAGACAGACACTTTATCAATCCCAAATTGGGAAATTATTTAACAGCAGCAGGTCAGGTATTACAAATATTTAAAGTTGGAATAAAGTATGAACTACACATCACAAGTATAATGCACTGCAATCCATAAAATAAGTCCGATATGTTCATGAAAACCCCCCAGGAGACACCAACACTAACGTGGCCGAGTGGACTCCGGAGTTTGCTACACTGTATGATCTGTGGTGTAGTGGGCTGTCACTCAAAAACTGAGTAGCCAATGAGGACGCACCCCTGAAAGTCCCGCCCACCTGGGATGTTTGTGTCAAAATCTCAAACAAAAAATCAGGGAGCGCAAACGAGAAGAGCTGCAGCGAGAGCAAAAGTCTGATCATTGAGAAAGAAACAAGAACTGCAAACAAAAACCTATGTTAAAACAAAGAAAAAATACTTATAGTTTACATGATTACACAAATGATTTGTTTGCAACTTATAGTTTTATTTTTGACTTAGTTTTTTTTTGTTTTAAACTCATTGTTTTGCTTTATTCTGAAAAAGTGTTGCTTTATCTTTATGATACAAAACTAATCCCATATATTGCGGCCGTTTCTCTGGCTGCAGTCACCACTCTGTGTACACGAGCAATGTCCCGCCCACAGCGCTATCTGATAGGCTATTACTGAAGTGTCAATCAACACTGAAGATTTTCCGGGCGGGAGCCAGCCAGAGAGGCGGGACCTTCTCAGATTACAAGCAGGTGCGAACGAACCGGAAAGAACCCAGACACAGACTGAAGCAAGCAGCAGCGCTGAGTGGCAGAGCCATACATGCGTTTCTAATTTAAATCAGTTTATTGGGATTTTATGAGATAGTCAGACAGGCATTGTTTTTGATTTAATAAATTAAGCATTATTGTTAGTTAAGCATGTCAGCCTGCAGCCCCACTTCTTGTCTCTCTCTCTAACTCATTGCAGATGGCTGCACTAAAGAAAAGGGCACAGAGAGTAAACCAGTTGTAAGATGTTTACAAGTTCATTAAACATAATATATGCTTAAATGCATTTCAAATAAGTTGTGTTGTAGTTTGTGTTATTCTATATGTTGACACCAAGATTTTCTGATTTTACTGCAAATGTATATCGGTTCCAAATGTCGGTTATTGGTCTCCTTGATTACTAATAATTGGTATCGGCCTTGAAAAAGCCATATCGGTCGATCCCTAATATCAATGTATAATCCTGATCATTCAAATTCAATTGGAAAGAAAAGCAATAATGTGAATCATTTTAATATCATGATTCTATTCATTATCTCACACTGATAGATTTGATGTATTGGACAACAGATACAAATGTGCATCCAGCTAACTGTAGAGACTTTAAATTGTGTGCTGGCCCTGCGACAATATCAATCAAATATAAAATTACTATATTTCCATTTTCATACCTCCTTTTAGCACAGGGATGAAACCGAACAGAAAGGGCGACTCGTGGGACCTTTATTGTTTGTTGATCCTAAACACAAAGCAATTCACAGGAAGATGTATTTCCTGAGCACATATCTCTTCACAGTGCATGTGACGCAACGCGAGTTTCCATCAGCAGCAACAGTGACATTTGTTTGCTATAAATAGAGGGCGAACAGGGTCAGCTGTTTATAACACCAGTAATAACAATAGCAGCAGGAGACTATACCATATCATATTTTCAAAGTTTTGCTTTTAAATGCATCTCACAGTCTTTAGTCTCAGGGACCATGAGATATGGTTGGAAGCTTCAAGAAAGCTTATCATTTATTCTACAAGTTGACAGTTTTTCTCATACAGATCCATCAACCCAAGACTTGTCAAAAAAGTATCTTCCATCATCTGTTGAAAGTGACTATAGCTACATTTTGTTGTGTTTTGCCTCAAGCAACCAGTAGCTGGTGACATATTCACCTCACTGACACCATGTTAGTGGACACACAATCTGCTTTAGGGTAGTGGTCATTTTTTATTTGATACAGTAGCAAGATAAATAAAGGCTTAAAGAAAAGCCTTTTTGGCCTGTTGTTAGCACAGGGAGATGATGCCCCCATTACCAATCTCATATCAAGCCATACAAAAAAATGAAATCTGAATTTATAAAACTTCCAGGTAGGAATTTCACACTTTCTCATAATTTTCAAGAAGATACAATGACAAAGCAATAAAAACCCAGTTTTCCATTTGATTGCTGTAAGGGCACGAACACAGGTCAGTGTAACAATTCATCTCAGTGTATAAACATGCTTTGTAAAGTTAGAAGTTTGCAGTGGGTAGTTGTTCATGCAGCAGAAACTGGCTCGAGAGAGTACAGTCCAGGAAGTTGTTATTTTTCCTATGGGGGTGGAAGAAGAGGAGCGCTTGTTGTTTTCCTGTGTGCAGCCTGTAAACGTGTCGGCACTCCTTTCCTGTCAAATGTGTGGCTTTATTTGCCCTACAGGCATTTCTTTAGTGTATATACGTTTGGCAATATCACTACATTGACATACATTACCGTGGGTTAGGGTGAGCTGGGCACCAGGACCTTGAGTGATTCTTGATATGTTGTTTTTTATTAAAATTGTTTGCTGTCAAGTTATTTTTATTTCCTCTGTGAATAGTTTAATAAAGTCAGACTATATATTTTCCCATGTGGTTGTGATGTTCAAGCCTGCCACCAGAGAACCCTATATACCTGTTCACTTCATCAGCAAGATTAGATAAGCCCATAATAAGCAGATGTGGGAGAAGTACTCATATTGTGTACTAAAGTAAAAGTAGAAGTACCAGCGTGTACTGTAGGAATACTCTGTTACAAGTCAAAGTCCTGCATTCAAAATGTTAGTCAAGTAAAAGTAGAAAAGTATTAGCATCAAATTATACTTAAAGTACTCATTATGCAAATTAATCCATTTCAGAATAATATATATTATGTTCTGATTATAATTATTGATGCATTAAAGTGTTATCAAAGCTGGTAAAGATGCAGCTAGTTGTAATGATTTTGAATTAACTTCAGGTGTAACTAAAGTCCTATGTAAGTGTTGTTTATATTTCACATCATCAATCCAAATATGTGAAGTAACTAAAGGCATACAATAAATGTAGTGGAGTAAAAGTACACGATTTAACTCTTAATTATAGTGGAGAAGAAGTACAATGTAACACTTAAGTACAGTACTTAAGTAAATCTACTTAGTTGCTTTACACCACTGATAATAAGTACTGTCCTAGAAATCGTAACAGTCCTAGATGTAAGATCCCAGTATCAGTAAAACACTGTGGTTACGGTCCTACCTTTTATCTGGTAGTCCTCAGAGATGTCTGAGGAGGGGGCCTGCAGCAGAGCCGACCTGCGGTAGACCACGTGGACCCGGCCCTGGTCCTCCAGCTCCTGAGTGCCTCTTTCGAGCGGCTCGATGAAATACTCGTCTGAGTCGGTGCGGATCATCCCAGCCTGCAACAGAAGGCCAGGCCAGTTAATGAGAGTGAGGAGCCATGCTGCTCTACAGCGAGAGGAAAGAGTAGGAAGTATGCTGTAGTACTCTGATACAGCCAAATGAGGCTGAAGAGGTCCTGAAGTCTTACAATCATTTGCCATGAGGACCAGCAATTATGCTTATAGGGTCACCAATCAAAATAAGTTTTGCTAAGAGCTGTGAAGGTGTTTCGAATAATTTTCTATATGTAATTTTTGTAGCAATGGTCTCTTGAATCTATTTAGAGATCTGCTTTATCCTTTGGTAAAAATCTTATGTACTCCATTTATTTGTTTTGGCCAAGCATAATTGGTTTGGGCCTGAAGGAACTATGCAAGTGTTTTAAACCAGCACTGTTTCATAGAAGTCTAAGAGAAAATGACCCTACTTCTAACTTGATTTATTATCTCAGTAGACTCAGTACATTTCAAGTCTTGTTCAATACAGCAGGATATTTATTTTGTAAATTACGTCTGCATTTTGAGTAAAATATACGATAAAGAAGGGCAAACGTTATGGTCGGACAACTTTATGATTGACATGTGGCTGCCACAGTGTTTTCCAGGTTTCTGCGTTGTAACATTTGAATCGCCTAAAAATGTATAGGCCATCACTTTTCTTAGCTCGATCCACTTCTTTTAATTCTGGTTCCAAAAAAAGGTGATGGTATTAGCCAAACTTGGAGCTTAATACCAGTAGCCCACAAACCAATGGGTGACGTCACACTGCGTCAACCTTTTTTAAACACTCTATGATCTTGACTGGTGCGTTCACAGACAGATGATAAAAAACCGACGCAATAATATCCTACCAAACAAAGTCCTAGTATCGATATACAAACATATCCACAAAATAGATGACAATGAACAGACAGATTATGTAATTAATGCAGGAAAAAATGTTTCTAAGTACTGATTGCCTGCTCAAATGTATTTGGTTCTCTCTGTGTGACAATCGTTTCACGTTGTTTTGATTCATTTCCTGCAACTTACAAACTCTTTCCAATTATCAGCTGGTTCCCCGACAGCTGCAGGTGGTAATCAAAACATCATGAGGGACACATTGGAACAAAATTGCTTTGTGATCACTACCTGCCAACCTTAGATTTCCTGCAATAATCCGCCTGCCATGCCTGTAGTTTAGGGCGGATATATCCAAGGCTCACTCTGTCCAGCTAGCATGATGATGTACAAACAACCTGAATGAGCAGCTCATCAAAACCAAGTGATGTGCTCAAGCAGGTGTCAGAGGATTGAAAGGCTGAGTTAAGTCACAATAAACCATACAGGTTAGCATGATAACTACATCGAGCACTGTGCTTTGCTTACCATTCATTTTCTGTAATAATTTCATTTCCCCTACCCAAATGAGCTGTTAAAAAAAGCCTTAGCCATGTGTGATGTTTCAATTCTATGTGAGAATATAAATGTAAAATGCAAATATGTATAATGTTCAACACAGAGCCAGCGGCATCAGGTGAGAAAGGATGAAGACTAATTAATTAAAGTTGTATACAGCAAATGGCCTCGGGAAGTAAAAACTGCTGCTCCTGTGCACCTGTGCGCAGACAGAGCCACCTCTCACAGCTCCAGAGGATTTTTTTTTCTAGCTTTCGGTCACAGGGTCGGTCGGTCGGTCCGGTCTCCTCTGCTGCACCTCGCAGACTTTACCTCACTATGGCCCCTCCGCTAACACTCTGCTGGACGCATATATGGTGCACTGCAACCAACATGCACACTGAACTCCAACTCCCATAGTCCTGAACCTACCCAAAACTCCCCCATCTCTCCTCCTATTCACACGCAATACTGGCTGAACTCCAATTCACTTCTTACCCAAGTTTGCATTTGAACTTGAGCACATCAACAGAATATTCATGTCCTGAGGTGTGGAGCACATAGATAAACAGCCTGCGTGTACAATTAAATTATAAGCTTTGGCATCCTGATGACCTCTTCCCTTTGAAACAGTAGGGGAATTAGATCTCCTAAAAGTTAGTTTTGTTTACTGACATGTTATAACCTCATAATGTGGCCATTATGTTATGATTTGGTTCAGTTTAAGAGGACCAGGTACATGTCTGGCCAAACATCCCTGATAATCGACCAAAGCATTCTAACCAGGTTATGATGCCAATATACATCCTATCAAAACTGTAAAGTTTGAGTTATCGTCTGTCACTTGGCATCATTCCTCTTTGTGGATGTTGACATAAGAAGCAAAAGCCTAAAATAAATTACATGTTGAAAATATATGAAAAAATATATATCTCTTCCTGCAAAAAATGATATCAAAAAGTATTCATTAACAATCAAACCTCTGCTTTAACATTAGATGATAGAATGAGTGACTCGGTAGCATTGTTTCAAAAGCAACTAGTTGACATTACAGCTCTGTAAACCAACAGAGCTGTTATCAAGCAGAGCAGCTCAGAGTAGAGTCTTGTCACTTTAGCTAGTAAAGCCCACCTTAAGTGAGCCTGAGGTGTTGTTAGCTTCAAGGTTAACCTCCTTCAATTTTCAAGTGGCAAGCACTCCACCGAGCTTGGCTTTGTGAGTTAGAATATCCAAAAAGCATGCTATCACTCATACTGCAAAATCTGGGTTTCCCACATAGACTTTGCTTGGGCAGACCGCCCAGGTATATTAACGGCCGCCAAAGCATATTTCGATTAACTAGTGGACAATGATCCCTCGCTCTACGCCTCCTGTACCTGTTCGCTCTGCTATCGCGTGAAGGGTCTGCTAACAAGCGATCAACAGAAAGGTTAATGTTGTTGCACACGTCACAAAGCCAGCGCCCCCCTGAATTCATTCCTGGTATTACACCCATCACCACAGCGTCTTTTCCTTTATTTACTCACAGCACATCTCCCACCTTGGTTCACTGGCAACTAAACAAAGTCACCTCTAGACTAACATGTTTACACCAGAGGAATATTTGAAATAAAACTGGAATTAATTTAAAATAGCATATTCACTTTTTCTCGATCAAGATCCGAAACTTCGTCGAGGTGGCGTTTCAATTTCAGATCAGTTAAGATGAAGCATTTCTTTCAGAATAAAACGAGAGGCAGACCAGAGGCCAGATTGGAGCCTCTGCTCCCAGACACATCATAAATTATAGTGGAGAGCTATTAAAAGCACAGCTATTAAAAGCACAGATTCTGAGAAACTGACAGATGGATAATTAGATAAAAGTTGGGATTCCGTCCAGTGGCACTGTTTAAATCTGCATATTTTATGAACCATGTGAAAGGCTGTAAATGCCACCTTCTTGTTAACACATGGCAGAGGCGAACAGTGTGAGGAGTCCAATTTAAAAGGCATGCTTGAATGTTCGTAATGACATGGCAAAAGCTGACATTTAAAGTGGATCAAAAGCTTTTCTGAAGAATGACACAAGAGGAGACAGTTAAGTCGATATCAAACATAAAACAGCAAGAAACAATGCTATGCAACTCATGGGTTGAAAGCTGAGCCAAGTAAAGGAAAATATGTAATCAATTCAGCCAATACTGTTTGACTCCAATTTTGTTTTACTATTTATCCAAGCTTTTCTATGAGTGAAAAAGTACTGAGAAAGAGAAAAGCTCAATATGTGGATGTCTAGCAAAAACATGCTCACTGTGTCTTAAGTTAACAAAGCAGAAATCCTCCCCCGTGTATATGAACAAGGCGTTTCAGTAATCTGCATCGCCCCCAAAGGAAGTGCTGAGCTCTCACCACTTTGAATGATTTAAACATAAGCAATTGGATACAGCCTTCCTGAAATTAATTGTTCATCTATCCTTGAAGCACACACAGCATTACAAAAAGGCAATAATCTCAAATATACTGGGAAAAAACAAACGTCATCATAATGCAAATGTTATCTTCTTCCATGAGCTAACACTGCTTAGAAATTCACATGAGCTCAAGGTATTAAACAGTGGTGATAATATTCCCTTCAGGTGCCCACTGTGAAACCAGAGGATTCATTGCTTTATTCTGCAATTCATGTTAGGAGATGGTCCTCATGCTGTGTTTCACCATGTATTAAAAATCCACATTACAGGAATCCTCTCTGTTTTCTATCTCTCCCGAAGCACTTAAGTTTGGAGAAAAGACTCCAACATCCTCACATGTCTAAGAGTCTGCAGTCACACACGTTGACCCATGAGCCTGTAATGCTAATCAAAATTGATTAAAAAAAAGAGGAGAGGAAACTGTTATTATACGTTGATCATTACCAGTGTTTGGAATAACTGGCCATAAAGGAACAGTTACTCCAAACAGCATTACAGTTATCAGATTACATTTGTCTGTAACGCAGTAATGTAACGCATTACTCTTGCTTCAGCAGTAATTACATTATAGTCACTACACACAATATTATCTTGTAACTTGTGTTACTTTTAAAGTCTTCGACTATCTGCATAACGGGAGGATAGAAAAAGTAATCAAATCTCCATTTTTGCTCGCGCTACACTCACAACTTCATGATTGAGGAAACGGAGCAAAATGTCAGAGTAGCAGAGATAAAAAGGCGCAGCAAACATCGTGGAGGACATCTTACCCGTGTCATTAATATATCCATGGTTTCCACAGTGGAATCGCCTTCTTTCGAAACATATCGAGCAAGAAACACGTAACAGGCGGGTCGCCGCCATCAGAGAGGAACACTTTAGCAAGCAACCTGGATCAGTGTTACTATGGAAACTAAACTAAAGAAAACACGGCTGAAGAGCAGAAAACAAGAGGTATTGATTGATTGATTGAAAAGTGTATTAACAGCTTGTATATTGGGTACAGTACAGTACAGCTCAAAACATACAATTGTTAAGGGGATGCAGACCAGATAAAGACTTTTGTCTGGTTTACATCAGGGTCCCCCATTTCCAATTCATGTGTACAGTGTTGTCAAATCAACAGTGATGACCATTTTAAGGCGTATTCAGACTACTCATTCATTTCAATGAGACCGCTGTGATTTTGCA